AAGATAACTAATTGCCAGAGCTTTGGGAAGGGGGGAATCTTCAAGAGTTCTGAGATCAATGTGGATGCTTAGTTCTTCTGACAACATATAAAAAGTTCCTCTGACAAAAAAAAAGTTCCCCTGACAACATAAAATAAGTTACTTGGACAGCATATAAAAGTTCCTCTGACAACATAAAAAGTTCAGCTGGCAACATAATACAAGTTTCTCTTACAACATAAAACAAGTTCCTTTGACAACATAAGAAGTTCCTCTGACAACATATAAAAAGTTCCTCTGACAATATAAAAAAATTCCTCTCACAACAAGTACTTAAATTTTTTCCGTAACAAGTACGTGTAATTCCATGCCAACACTTACGTACATTTTTTCTGCCACCATTCACATACAAACCCTCTGCCAACATTATATTCACACATGTATTCTGCCAACATATACGTACAGTTCTGCCACCATTCTGCTATCATTTACTTAAGACTTCTTTTTTCTAATATAATAAGTAAATAAATAAATAAATAAATACAGCAACAAATTACTTATGGTACCGAGTTCATCTGTTTTGTTCTTGAAATAAATTTAGGCAGAAGCACACAGACTGATTACAGGTGTATGATTACAGGTGAATGAACATAGGTGGATGATTACAGGTATATGAACACAGGTTGATGATTACAGGTATATGAACACAGGTGGATGATTACAGGTGAATGATCACAGGTTAATGAAATCATATTAATGAACACAAGTAAATGAACACAGGTTAATGAACACAAGTAAATGAACACAGGTTAATGAGCACAGGTTATTGAACACAGGTTAATGAGCACAAGTAAATGGACACAGGTTAATGAACACAGGTAAATGAACACAGGTTAATGAACACAGGCTAATGAACATAGGTAAATGAACACAAGTAAATGAACACAGGTTAACGAACACAGGCTAATGAGCACAAGTAAATGAACACATATTAATGAACATAGGTAAATAAACAGAAGTAAATGAACACAGGTTAATGAACACAAATGGAAACGGGTTAATGAACGCAGGTAAAGGCACACAGGTAAATGAACACAGGGAAATGAACACAGATTAATGAACACAAGTAAGGGAACACAAGTAAATGAACAGAGGTAACAGAGCAGAGGTAATTGAACACATTAATGAACACAGGTAAATGAACAGAGGTAACAGAGCAGAGGTAATTGAACACATTAATGAACACAGGTAAATGAAAACCGGTAACTAAGCAGAGGTAATTGAACACATTAACGACCACAGATAAATGAACACAGGTTAATAAACATAGGTTAATGAACACAGGCTAATGAACACAACTTGGTGAACACAGTAAACATATAGTGAAGATTTTTTTCCAACATAAAGGATTGAATTTAAGTTATTTATATACATTAACAAAAAAGACCTTTGTGTAGAACGGGCCATCTAGTTGACCGAGTGTGTCCTGGTAGACTTAGGAAAGGCAGAACAAAGTATAAATAATATACATCTCTCTTTAGTTATTCAATGATACCCGTTGTGTTATGTAGATACTGAGGCTACGGACACGGTGCTTTAATACATCCATCCATCCATCCATCCATCCATACATACATACAACATACATACATACATACATACATACATACATACATACATACATACATAGGGAATGGGACAACTGGCCGCCGCCATCTGGCCGCCGCGGACTGGGGGTAAACTGCAAACGCCTAATTTTGCGCTCTCAAGGCAGGTTAGGTTAGGTTAGGTTAGGTTAGGTTAGGTTAGGTTAGGTACTTCATGGGCTGCGGCCAGATGGCGGCGGCCAGATGGCGGCGGCCAGTTGTCCTAGACCCACATACATATATACATTTTATTATTAATTTTTTTTACAGGGATTAAACGACCCGGGCACAGGTCACTGACCCACATCGGGGCCTGGGTGTGAAAATGTAATAATAATAATAATAACAATAACAATAATGCACCTTTTCACATATCCGTTGAGACATTGTTACATAACTATTTGACAAATTTCATAACCGAATGACAGACAGAACACATATCGAATGACAATCTAAAATAACTGTTCGTTCATGCTAACGGAAGTGATTGACATAAGTTATGAAGTTGACAGCCGTGAACAATAAACCGACAGTCTACATATAGTATGAGAATGTAACAATTGGAGAATGACATACCACCAACAGTTATTTTAGATTGTCATTCGATGTGTGTTCTGTCATTCGGTTATGAAATTTGTCAAATAGTTATGTAACAATGTCTCAACGTATATATGAAAAGGTGTAATAAAGGTGTAATAGTATATAAAATTTATAATACAAAATACAAAATTGTAAATCAAATAATAACAAAAATAATAATTACAACAACACTGATAATAATAATAATAGTAGTAATAATAATAATAATAA